TTTAAACATTGGGTGTCAAGTTTGCAGTGAAAATTGTTTTCATGCACATTCATTTTTGTGGACTTCCTTTTAGTGTTTTAGAAAAACACAGATGAAAAACAAACTTCTTAATACTTATACAAGGATCCACAACTCCAGTGTCGATTGTCATAAACTTAAGAAAATGTCTAAAATAAATGTCTGAGATATTACATATAGTTAGATCTCAGGTGGAGTAGTGTGTACAATTTTGGGCAGCACACTTCAGGAGCATTGTGAATGTATTGGAGAGAGTGCAGAAAAGGATTACAAGAATAATTCCAGAGATGAGAAACCTAAATTATGACAATAGATTGGAGAAGTTGGGATTGTTTTCCTTGAAGAGAAGAAAGCTAAGACGCGATTTGATGTAACTTTTCAAAATCATGTGAGGTCTGGACAAGAGTAGATGGGAAGAAACAAGTTCCACTCATTAAAGTTTCAAGGGCAGAGATTTGAAGGGATTTATAAAGAAACGAACGTGAGGTGACATTTTCACACAACGAGTAGTTACAGACTAGAGTGTGCTATCTGCAAGTCTGGTGGAGGCAGCTTCAATTAAGGCATTTAAGAGGGAAGTAAATGACTGTTTGAACAGAAACAATATGCAGGGTTATGATGAAGACAGGAGAATGGCACTAAGTCATAATGCTCATTTGGAGAGTCAGTGCAAGCACAATGGGTTCAATGGCCTCCTGCACCATCTGCAATTTTATTATCGCAAGTGTCCACAGTGATCAAGTGGTTCAATTTTATTCTTGACTTTTCCACTTATTTTTCAATTAATGGTGCCTCCATAACTACTTGTAGCCTTTGGAAAATGCGCAAGCCCTCTTGATGTTGAATAAATGTCATTGTTGTTTCAGATTTTGTGCTTTATTCTAATGCTGGCCTGTTATATTGGAATTTCCTCCTTACACTTCTCCACCTCTTTACTTTACTTTCCTTGCTTAAGACAGTTCTTGTTCAAAAAAGTTTTTAGTCACCTGACCTAATGTCTCCTCACAGAGCATAGTGTCATCCTTTGGTTTGTTAAGTCTCTATAAAATGCCTTGGGATGTTATATTGTATTGAAGGTGTTCTATAAGTTGCCATTTTGCCTTATTGGGTTAAGAAGTGTCAGTTATTGAGATGTTGAGTTTGACTTTGCATGCCCATGCACTCTCTTGCACACAGCAGAACTGAGTAAGCTGTTTTGAGCAGATTGGCTGTTAATTGACATCTGCGGTCCTGTGAAAGAAGGGAATGTTGCTCAGCATTCCCATTCATCATTGCTAATAGGTATTACTTCATTTGGTGGATCTCCGATCATCTAAGACCAAGATCAGATATGCCTGTGATGTTGTGTAGTTAAATGGCCTGCAGGGTTCTGCTGATGAGATTAGCGCATGACAAATGGGCAAAGTAGGTGAGGAATGAGAAGCTTATACAAGATTATTGAGGAAAATTGACCAATTAATTCCATTAACTTCTTCATTATGCAGAGAAGTTCAAATATTTGAAGACAGAATACGGAAATAAGAGGAATCTTCTTTTGAATCTTCTTCCATAAAATAGGCATTAACTAAGTTTGCAGGAAAGGTTGGTCATTATGTAACTTGGTTGGTTCCAGCTGCAGTAGCAATCCTATGATAACTACTTGAGTGCACCTATCAATGTTTCCTAAGAATGGAACTGGCCATGGCCACCTTCCGTTATGTGAAAGTAGTTAAAACTGTTACATTGATGGCATTTGTTTGGATGAACTAATCAGGGGCATTACAAACAACTATCCGTGCAAGGTTTGAAAGGTTCAAACCTAAGCTATTCAACAAGATCATGGCTGATCTTCTGACTTTCCTTACAGTATGCCTTTTTTCCTTGATATATTTAATATTCAGAAATCTATTGATCTTGAACTACTCAGTGATTGGGGTAGAGAATTCCAAAGACTGACATCCTCTGAGTCAAGACATTATTTCACAGCCCAAATGGCCCGCTGTTTATTCTGTGACCGCGCCCCTTGTATCTAGACTGAAGCCAGGGCAGACATTCTTCCTGCATCTTCTCTGTCAAACCCTATTAGATATTTGCCTGATTCATAAAGAGCACCTCTTATTTTTCTGAACTTCGGAGAATATAGGCCCAGTCTCTTTAGTCTGTTTTCGTAGGACAGTACTGTCATCTCAGGGATTAGTCCGGTGAACCTTCATTGCATTTTCTCTATGACAAGTATTCTTAGGTACAGAGACCAAAACTGGAGATGGGGAGACAAATAATAAAGTATAAAAAAGAACATATTTCTACATTTCAACTTCTTGTCATTGCTAAATGTTTGGGGCAGACATAACCAGAGTTTAGATACATTTATTCCAATCTGAGAAGGGGCTCGAGTGTATTAAGGATAGAAACTTCATTGAGATTGCCTTTTCATCTTTTACCTGTAGTACAGTGAAGTTACAATGAGTTCAAATTTGGATAACCTGAAATTCCATTTGTGGTGAAGTTGTTAACCATTTTCGCTGGTTGCAGAGGTAATCCAGTGATGAACAGAAGTCCTAGGCTGGAAACTGTACATTAACCAAATCCAGCATGCATTTCATATGACTGCGCTAACCAATTAGAGTTGAGTTAGAGGCCACACCAGAACACAAAAGCACAGACAGGTCTGCAGTGATGGTGACAAAAAAGATCACACTCACACCTTAAACCAGTATACACCAAAAGAATATTTTTTAATTTGGATAACACCACAGACTGTTCTACTGGATTGCACCTTGTTTTTTGTTTCATCTTTAAATGTTAATTGTAGAAAGCAAAGCAAGCGATGTGTCACTGCTATGGTCTTCGTCAAGGTGGATATCACAAACAAACAGGTTGCTGTTTCTTGCATTAGGAAAGTCCAGGAAGTCACGTTGCTTCATGAATATCAAGACACTAGCTAGGCACTGTGAAGCTAACAATAACACCAGAATCACCACCTAGTATTTTTTGAGGCATGGATCAGGAAAGTGGGCAAAATGTATCAACGGAAGAAAAAGAATATTATCACCGATGACCCTGAAGACTCCGATGTTTGCCCACCCATTCACTTGCCTGTTTTCTAGCCAAAGCCGCAAATATCATTGAAATGCATCAGTGCTTTACACTGCATCATGAGAAAGTGATAAACATGTTTGACTTCATTTGAGGATTTGGCTGACTCGTCCAAAGACAGCATGCTAAGCAGAAAAATATTAGAGATTTTGCAGAGCCAACTCCTAATATTTTCCAATCTTTTTTGCTGCAAAACATTGTGAAATATGAACAATTTTTTTAAAAAGATACTTTTTGGATACTTACTGCACCACTTTATTCAACTTTCCTTTTGATATAGAGCATGTTTCTAGGCAAGTTGGTTACATTGGTGCTTCGTAATAATCTCAAAGCACGGCTTAATACGAATTTGTAGGTGGGCTCCCTATGATTCAAGTTTGTATGATTTTACTGTATTTATGTGGCTAGTCCAGTTTCTGGTCAATGACAAACCTGGATGATAGTAGGTGTTTGAGTGATGATAATCCTTTGAAAGTCAAGGAGAAATGGTTAGAATTTCAAAGACTTACTCTTGTTCCTGTGTAGGCATGTTTTGATTCAATTTTCTTGGTAGCAAGAGGACAGTAAGTACTCAATTTTTTTTTCTTTTTTGTAACAACTCCAAAATTTGAATAAAGCAACAGTCTACTCTACATAATTTATTTCTCCCATGCTAATAAGTTATTTCTCAACTTTGGTTCTATATACCATGTGTCCTGCAGAGATCAACCCGTTGCATGCTGTGGCATATTGACTGTAATACAGTCTTTCAAGTAGAGAACTACCTGAGTGCATTGTACTAGATCTAATCCCATGGAAAGTATTCTAGGAATAGATAAGTGAGTCATAGAAACTCAATTATGATCTTAATATGGATGCCTTTGGATAATTCTCCAAATCCAGTTATCTTGGATGCATGTTTTAGTTATTTCTCTTTGTTTATTGCAATTTTCTTTTGATTTAAAAAATGTTTTCTCTACCTCATCCCTCTCTTTAAACCATTATTTTTCCTTTTCTTCACTCTTATCCTCTCCCGCCCTTTTATCAATCCTCTGTCTTCTTCAGCCTTGCTTTAACTCCCCAGCAAAACTTTACATATTTCTTTGCCATTCTTTCCCTCTGTCTTATCCTCTTGCCTTTCTTGGCTTCTTTGTTCTCTTCTCTGCTGTCTTCACCTTTGTTGGAATTAAATTTCATGAGTTATTATCTATCCGCTTCCATGTTTTGCTGAAATAATTCTATAATTCTGATTTGCTCTCTCTTATTGCCTCTGCCACCACTAATTTGGTGTTATGTTCAAATTTGACCAACTTGTGTTGTACTTTTGAATGCAAACAGTTAATAACCAGAAAACAGTAATGGTCCCAGCATGACCTCTAACTTACTCTACTTAGTACTTCTCCTTCACCCTGTTTAACTTTTCTGAGAATTATCTCTTCCGTGTTGTCAAACACTTCCTATTCTCTTTGTTCTATTCGAGCTCATTCCTTCCTTCTGCTTTTGCCATCAGTTACTTTTGCTTGCTTTCATTCTTGCCTTTCCTCACTTTCACCTTCTTGTGATTTCTTATTCTCCCCCACCTCATCTGTTTGCTGTCATTCCTTTTGCTAGCACCCTCTCCTCTCCCTATAACACCTTTCTCAGTTCTCTCTCTATCTCTTTGGCTGGCTCAAGACTCTGTATTTGAGGAACTATTTCTTATTCTATTCACCTTTGGTTGCTTTCTCTCAATTTGTGTTGTAACCAAAATGTATACAATCAAATATAAATCAAGCCTTTGATCTAAGAATCTAACTTCACAAAGTATATCTATATGTCCTAATCTACATTTTAGTTTTGACTAAATTATAGTCATATTTGGATCAATTAGAATTCTGTTCTGTTCACTTTCCCAATATAAATTTTATTTTCCTTTCAAACAATCACAGGTGCTGCTGTTTCTTCAAGCGGAGAAAAAGGAAAACTATTCAACGTCACAAATGACTCTGGAAATCGTCTGATCATGGAGAGTTACTTACTTGTTCATCTGCTGTCTCATCATAACCAAGAAACAAATCATCTCTGCAGTGACAACAGACTTTTATCAAAAGATGTTTTCCTTCTGTTTTTGCCCAGTGATTTGGGTGGTTGTCCTATGTGGGTATTTTGTTTTTATTTCATCAGTCTTCATCTTGAAACTAGGCTTCATCAGAAATTTGGTGTTCATATTTTTGAGGTTAAAAGAGGGACCTCTTGTCAGGGTAAATGTATGAAACAAAAAACAGTTCACTTGACTTCAACCAAATCAAACTGCAATTTTTAAAAAAAGGATTGATTTGGTCCCAACATGTGGAAGGCAGGAATATTCTATGTGCTTGGTGATGGTAACTACAGAACAGTTGCAATTCAAGAATGAATTTTGCCTACACAGGAGCTGCTTTGAATAGATCTGTAGTAACTGCATAGTCAGGTATTTGGTCTGCCAACTGGGGGACTCAAGACATGATTGTCACTGTCCTATCAAATGGAGAAACTTGAGAAAACAAACCACAAAAAAAGTCTGAATTGTACATTAACCCTTCATTTGTCTTAGTTGAAGACATCTGCACAGAATTTTCAGTATTAAATTTTATGCTATCTTTATCTGTCTTTTCGGAAGTCACTGACCAGAAATACCGTGGAAGGAAAGGATTGATTCAGCAGGTGGTATTTCATGGCTGTTGCACTGTTACAATATATACAACATGAGACAGCTGTAGACATTCATGTGTACAAACAATACTTGCTTTATTTACCTCCTAAAGGAGAAGCAGTGTAGTAGAAAGGGCAGCATGTGCTTATTGTCTGATATTATGACATGTTTGTAAAATGTAAACTGTGCTTCCTGGTGTTTTGTTTGGACAGATTAATGCTGAATGTTCTGAGAGTTATTATAATGAAGGAGGTAAGAGACCATTCTGATCATGCCTTGAAGTGTACTATGTGTTAAGACATGGAGTAAAGCTGTGATGGTGAATAATGAAAAATGCATCTTGGAGAAATTAATTAGGCCTAAATGGATTTTAGGCAAGTCCTGGCTAATTTTAATGTACCCTGTACAACCAGGGAACTTGGATGCCGAATGTCTAATCCATAAAGTAGCTCTTTAATGGAAAGTTAAAATAAGAATGTGAAAGAAATTGGTCAGATAATATTGCCTTTTGCATTTAATAGCTGTGGCACCCAAACTGTGCAGTTGTATGTGAAACATTCCTTTCTTATCGTAATCACAGCTGTTCAAAGACGTTATGCTGGAGATGGGTCAGGTACTTTCCCAATAAACCCTTGAAGTGCCTGCATTTTGAACAAACCAGCTGTTCTATAAAACATCTCATTCCGTTTTCCATCCTCTGATCAACAGTTTGTTTCCACAGACGTTTAAATACAATGTTGTGCAGTGTTTATCAACTGTTTTATACACTGTTTTTAGTTTCAATCTTGCGCTGGATATTCTTAACCTTTTTTGTTCGATCAGCAATGTCATGTTCTGGATTAGTCTGATGCAATGTATTAATTTATGATGATATGTTGCATGCAAACTTCTTAGCGTTTGTGTGAGAAAGACTGGAATACAAGGCAGAATATTTTAACATGAAACTGCAATCATAATGGCAGGGAACCACTTCTATGTCTGCAGTATTTGACCAAATTTTTTTTTCTTTAATAGCATAATATGTGTAAATAAGTACAGTATTATTTCTGTACCTCCATAAATTTGAACATCACTTTCGATTGACTTTAATTGGTAGTTTTATTTTTGCCTGTACAGTGTGTACAACATGAAGTTGTCACAAATAGCAAAGAAAGTGTGTTGTATATTAATGTAATTATGGACTGTAATCTTTACAAACGAATCAGCCACCCTTCGTTGTCTGCAACGAAGACCAGTGCATTTACACAAGCTTATTGGCAAGATTTCTAGTGCTGCATTTTACGCCTGGGAAGAAGTTTCTTTCTGGTGATACAGGCTGGTCATGGTTATAAATCCAGCTGTGTTCAGTTTAGGCCAACAGTTTTACGCAGTCACCGCTTTTCTGTCAATACTAATAAAATGAACTCTGCCTGACTGTACAAGTGATGTAATACATCCCTGTTTCCCAATATGTAAGTGAAAAAAATAAAAGTAGTTTTTTTTAAAATTAGACTGGCAATGTTGTTAATCACAATATTTTATCTATTGTTCCATCTGACCATGCATGTTAGAAGTTTTCAAAGAAGTTTATTTGTTTTATGATTCACATCACTGTTCAGAATTTAATTGGTATCATGTGTTAATGAAGTCATTCCTGCTTTACTGTTTGAAATATTAGTAAAATGAAAAATGGCATTCTTTTGAAATTAGTATGTTCTGGGTGTCAGTTGTCTTATACACATCAGTACATTTACTATATGTCTCATTTTTTGAAACACAAGCTTAAAAAAATACTGAACAGAGCCTGTTTTGCACTAGCAAAAGGTTTTCTTTACTCTTGTAGGGCTGTGTATTTCACTGGCGGAGCCAGTACTTATTGCCCATCTCTAATCTCCCTAGAAAAACTGCCTTCTTGTGTCACTGCATTCCATGTGATGTAGGTATATTCATAATGCAGTTTGGGAGGGAGTAATATTTGATATTTTTTGGTGCAATACACTGTAACAAAAGTACAAAATGTTTTAAAAATCATAAGTAACTTTAGAATAAACAATTCTTTGGGCATTAGTAGGGTTTAGGATGAGTTAAATGAGGACAGAAAAAATGAAATGGAGAAGATGTACAAAATCATGAGAAAAACAGCAAATTTGGGACCAACTAACTAAAAATGTGGCAAAGTGCAAAGAGGAATTATTTTAGAAGGTACAATAACAAATCACATGACCACAAGCAGGGTACTAAAATTAAAATATGAGCCAAGTTTGCAAGTAGCGCATTAAAGACTTTAAACAATGTATTTTACTAGTATAAGAAAATTTGAGTGTTTCTTAGATCCATTAAAAGATTTTTTGATATGCAGTGTTAAGAGTACTCTGTTGAGTAGTTGGGAGTAAAACCAGTAAGACTGTATATTTCAGATCAGAAGAATTGAGGCTGAATTTTCATCAAAATTGCTTGGTTAATATTCATGGGTTAATGCTTTGTAAAGCTACTTTGTGTGGCACCTTCCACTGTTGGCTTATTATCTTGCAAAGATTATTTTGGAATCTGTTACACAAGTTGGTTTTTAATAAATTGTTCATTTGCATTAATTACAGTGAGGTATGTTTTAAAAGTAATTCTTTAGGTGGTATGCAAGTTAATGATGCATAGTGATGCATAGAAAGGATTGACAGCTGTAAGTCCATTCAAACTCCAGGAAGTGAAGCTCTTCCCTTGCATACTGATGTTAATAAATATTTGCAGAATAAATGAAAAACAATAAAAAAATTGACACTGCTTAACACCCAAAAAATTTGGTTGATTTTGTTTTACATTTTTTTTGACAATTATGCTCTGGTATTTGTATTAATCTAAGACAATAAACATTTATTTTATGTATAGATTGGACAATCCAGGTGAGTCACTTAAAAATTGCTTTGTATTCAGTGGTTTGTTACCATAATACTATTATTAGTCTGAGCAACAATGTGGTTAAAGTTTCTTGATGAATGTTCAATTTGTTTTTGAAGGAAATCTTTAGTTTTTGATGAATTGAATTAGCTTCTGCAGACAAAAAAATTAGTGACAAAACATGCTTGCTGATCAAATACTTTTCCAATTTCCACTATTAATTCATATCTCCGAGTGACATTTATTACAAGATGAACTATTTTAAAAATCTGTTTTCCATTGGACTATGCATTTTGTATTGTGTTGACGAGAGTTTATATTATGGAGTAAATCTCAGATATGTGAAAAAGGTGGGGTAACAGTGTGGATCGTAGATAATTGTTGTTGAGTTTGTTAAAACTTAAGCTGAAAGATGTTTCTATGAATTTCTGTGCCGGTTTAAAATGAAATTAGCTGGTTTGTTGAATATCATTTTGGTTGATTAGTTTGGGGTGCTGTGATAAGCGAAGAGGACAGCCAAGATATTGCACATTCATATTGTGATATTCTGTTTTGAAGGGTCTTTTTTATTTACATTGAATGGTGTTCAGAGAGATGTGAAGTCACACAAGTAATTGTATGAATTAATATGGAATGCATGCCTTCTGAATATGTAAGTACCTAGTGGGAAAAAAAGGTGTTCCGATGTTTGAATCATCTTCCGTTTCCCCAGTGATTTCAAATTGTTTGGAAGTGTTTTCAAACATTGTGCATGATAAATCAGGTGATATTCAACTTAAAACAATACTATATTGACATGCAGTTTACAGCATGCTATTATGCTACTAAGGTGAGGATGTGCCCTTAAAGTCCTCATTTAAAATGTAATGTTACTTTGATGAGTCAACAAGTAAAAATAGAACAATGTCAGTTGCAGATTTCAGAGAAGAGAGCTTTTGTTTAGTATTGCTGTGCATTTGCAACATGTGCATTTGATGCAGGACACCTTTCGTTAATTTGCTGGTGATTTCTTAGTGATGCTGATGGTGATTTGGCAGAATTGCTTATGCCAAGTGTCATGCAACATGATATCAGGGCAGCTGATTTATGTTGATGATTAAATGAAATTAATGTTTTGGTGTACAACATTACTACAATAATTAATAATATTTTCAACTTAAAAGATTCTATAACATTTTGCAAATTGATGAACACAGCTTTCTTTTATTTGCTGAGATGGTTAAATTGAGCTCATTTCTTTTTTAAAAGCACAAAATGTAGAGGATGCTTGCAAGGAAGATACCCCACACTGAAAGTTGATGGTGCAATGAGTGTCAATATAGTTAACTTAGTATTAGAAGTTGGTCTTGCATTGTGAGAGCACTGAGAACGGATGGTACAATGTGGTAGGAACAGAGTGATTTTTGTATTCAGAGATTTAGCTGTGAAAGATGTTTGATGCAGAATGGGGTGGAGATAGGACTTGGAGAATGAGAGTTAGATCTTGTTTTTTATGAGACTACTACAAAATCATTAAAAAAAAACTTGAGAGAGGTTAAAAGAGAAGTGTGTGTTACAGTTGTGGATCCGGTGATACTGGAATGTTGGGGAGAATTGTTCATGCTGGACCCACCAGGGTAGGGTGGTTTTTAGGCCTGAGAAAACTGAAGAAGGTGAAGTGATCATAATGGTTTTGAAATGTCTCAGCACTTGAAGGGCAGTTTCTGATGCACCCCTTTCTCATTGTGACCTGAAAACAGAATGAAATATTTACCTTTGATTACCACTTTGCTTCTGATCCCTTTCTCATAGGAAGAAAGCCCGGTGTTATCACTGTGCAGGGCACAGTTAAGATGGTGGTTGGAGGCTGAAGGTTTCAGTCCACCATTCTTCACTTTGGAGCATAGCTCCTCAGAAAAGATTTTTAATTAATTCATAAGATGTGTGTGTTGCTGGCTGTGCCAGCATTTATCGCCCGTCCTTAGTTGCCCTCGAGAAGGTGATACTGAGCTGCCTTCTTGAGCCATTGCAGTAAATTTGGTGTGCGTCGACCCACAATGCCATCAGGGAGGAAATTCCAGGATTTTGATCTGGTGATGCTGAAGGAATGACGATATATTTCTGAGTCAGGGTGATAAGTGGCCTGGAGGAGAACTTGGAAGTGTTGTTCCCATGTACCAGCTGTCCTTGCCCTTCTAGATGGCAGGAGTTGTGGGCTTGGAAGTTGTTGTCTGAGGATCTTTGGTGAATTTCTGCAAGTGCATCTTGTAATTGGAACTGAGCATCAGTGTTGGAGGAAATGAATGTTCACGGATGTGATGTCAGTCAAATGTGCTGCTTTTTCGTTGATGGTGTCAAATGTTTTGAGTATTACTGGAGCTGCATTCAACCAGGCAAGTGGGGAGTATTCCATCACACTTCTGACTTGTGCCTTGTAAATGATGGACAGATTCTGGGGCTTTGCAAGGTGAATTACTCACTGCAAGATTCTAAGCCTCCAATTGCTCTTGTCGCCATGGTATTTATATGGCGAGTCCAGTTCAATGTCTGGTCAGTGTTAACCCCCAGGATGTCAGAGGTGGGGGATTCAATGATGGTTGAGAGTACAAGTCCCAATCCAAAGATTTGAAGACAGTAACTCTCGTGACGCTGCAATGCAGAATTAAGCTGTACCTTGCGTTCAGAGGTGCAGTCTTTCAGGTTTTAAATCTAGTTTCCACCTGTCCTCTGCTTAGATGATCCTGTAACATTATTTTGAAGAAAAGCAGGAGACTTCTTCTTGTACAGACCAACCTTTATCCCTTGATCAATATCCTAACAAAAAATGATTATTTAGCTGCTATCACAGTGGAAATGTTAAGATGATACATACTTGGCAAAACTGAATTGTCATGGTGATGCCCCTCCCAGTCTCCCACACACCCACTCATCCTCCACCTTCCCCCATCACCGTCACTGGCTCTCCAGCCAGTGGCAAAACTTGCTGTATTTCCCATTTCCGGGAGTCTGTTTGGGATTACATCCCATCAATCCATCAGGGAAATTTGTAACAGATTTCCTGGTTTTGGGATGAATTTCCTTCCCCCAAGACCTGCTGGCCAATCAGAAGACAGCAGCGCTCGCTAGACCCCCTCTAGGACTTGGGGATCTCTACAGGGTTTTGGAAGGTCATGAGTTCTCCATCTCAAACTACCAGCTCCATTATCAGTCTACCCTCACCTCTTAGCCTGCCCGCAGGACATGTGTTAAATTCTGTCCAACGAGTGTGTTCTGAATTCCAACTTTCACTAATCTCGTATTAATAATTACAGACAGCATTAGAAAAGAATGGGTGTGAGCGTTTAAAAAGGATCAAACGTCATAAAATGAATATGGATATTTGGACTATTTAGCCATGGTAAATGTGGGGTTACGGGGATAGGGTATGAGGCGGGTCTGGGTAGTATGCTTTTCGGAGGGTCGAAGCAGAATCTATGGGCCAAATGGCCTCTTCTGCACTGTAAGGATTCCATGAATCTAAGTGTTCTGAAGTCAAATACAGGTCCATTAAAAACTGTAGAATATAAATTATGAGCTTTAATAACCCTCCAGATTATAAATTAGCCCTATTAATAGGCAATCTGAAAAACATGATAT